CGTTGTCCTCCAGGGTGTTAGAGATGATAGGACAGATGTTGTTAGTTATAGGACAATTGATTAGTATATTTGGTAATACTGAAGCTTAAAGAAACTTTGTTCAATTCTAAACTACCATTCGCTTTAATTTTCCGCCAAAATCTCCAGCGTCTGACGTCAGTTACAACTAGGGGCGGATCTAGATGAATTTTCTTACGGTGGCGTGAGGGTGGCAAAGAAATCAAATGGGGTAGCAAAACCAAAGCCTTTTTTTCCCCCAAACACATACGCAGGTGGTTACACATGGTTAAAAGGATTCAAATGCAGTAAGTATCCACGTTTTTCATATAAATATAGTCTATAACTAAATTATTGTCTATAGCCCACATAATTACACACTTTAGTTACATAAAACATGTGAGTTTTGATGTTATGTACTGTATAGCCTGTATGATAAATAAATATGTAGCCCAATAAGTATAAAATCCAGAAAGCTACACAACATGGGGCGCTTCATTTACAAACACAAGTCTAACTTAAGTTTCACACTGTTAGAAATCAATCACATTGTTACATTAAAATTACACAAAATGTCAGAAATCTGCACTGTCATGAATAAAAATGTAAACCTAATTTTTCATGATTTGTTGCATTAACCCTCTGAGGTCTGAAATACAACCGGACATTTTTGACTCCTTTTGAGTTTACGTTTGTATTTCACCCTCAAATTGTTTCATTTTATTTTTTTCCCCCGTTGCCTTGTTTGGTATCTTTTCAGCTCAGCTGAATTTAGTTGTTTTTTCACTGACATACTGCATTAGTGTTACTATTACTATTAATATAACTATTACTGATCTGAAATCACACAAAGAACCTAAAATCCTAGTAGTATTTTTTACTGTAAACAAAAACCACAGACATGTTGAGTAAATGTTTATAACTTGAAATGCAAATATAAAATGTACATTTTGTAAACATAAACAACTATTTATCTAAAAATGCAGCCAATACACCTGCCGTTTTTTTCATTTTCTACAACCATTTAAAAATATTACTAAAACTAAAATGAGAGAACAATCAGATTTCACAATAAGATGCTCCACAAATGATGTGTGCCAGTAAAAAAAAAAGTTTGTCCACCAAAACACAGAAGAGCACAGGGATAAACCTGCAGCCTGACAACAGGAGGTGTATCACTCCGCTGGTTTCTACTTAGTGACAGTGTTTACAAATTTGCCTTAGTGACATTCATTAGTGCCCTCACTGACACACTAAACAAAACGACTACACAACAGAACAGCTACACAACACAACACAACACTCCACGCTCAAACTGTTAATGCTATCTTATTTTAATAAACAACACTGTCATATGCAAAACTGGGGTGGCACTTGGGGTGGCAAGGGATCATTTTAGGGTGGCACTTGCCACCCCATGCCACCCTTCTAGATCCGCCCCTGGTTACAACATGAGTCGCTTACCTTGTCCGTCACTTCCGTCCTTCACTATTCTCACCTCACAGCATACTGACAAATAGACTCACCTTTCCTGTTGTTTCACCTCTTTCCCACCGTCTTCACTCCTTTTCATTTTCTCCATCCTGTGACCTCACACATGCTTTTATTTTGAAGGCTGTGCTGTCTGGCATTCGCTCCATTAAATGATCAGAAACATTGAGCTGAAAGTCTGACTTTATTTTGATGGGTGTTAATCCTCAACATGTTCACAGTGAGCAAGTTTGATGTTTATTAACATGTGTATTAATCATATGTATTAATATGGTAATAAACATGTTTATTAACACATTTTGCATTCAAACCATTTTAGATTTAACTCATTCAGTTTTTTATGTGCTGTTCACATACACAAAGATTTAAAGAGAGAGAAGTAAATAAAAAGACATATTTCTAGACAAACATGCTTTTTATTTTGAAGTCTGTCACTGTTTAAGGACTTTATCTTGGCTGTGTATAATGAGGTGTTGCTTCCTCTCCGCAGGCTCCTCCTTCCTGTTTGTGAACACGTCAGGTCGCTATGGTGGTCAGCGCGCTCAGCTGCTACTACCGCCACTCAGAGAAAACGACACGCACTGCCTCAGTTTCCTGTTTTACCAGGTTGGAGGGCGCGAGGGTGCCGTGCCCGCTACGCTTAACGTCTACATCAAAGGTACGCAGGAACACTGGCGCAGGTTAGTCAGTGTAGGCGGAGCTCTCAGATGATGATGGTGTATGTGTTTCCTGCAGAGAACGGTAGTCCTCTGGGAGTTCCTGTCTTTAACTCCTCAGGCCCTGCCTACCACATCTGGAAGGGGGTGGAGCTTGCAGTGTCCACCTTCTGGCCCAATCACTACGAGGTAAACCACCCTAACGCAAACACACACGTTTACTTTTGACAGGTTTTACCTGAATAGTATGATAGCAGCGAGATAACACACACGCTGGTATTTCTATCACTGCGAGGACTGTGGTTGGGGTACTGACCAAACCCCGACCCCCAGTCTGGACCCTCCGTCCCAAAAAGCGGTCCGCTTGTCCTGAGAGTTGCAGTGGTCCTCACAGAGATACACAGGCGAATGCGCACACACTCGCTCTGGATGTGGCTGATCCGTATTGAAAGCTCTTTTATGTGGCTTTAAAAGCTCTGTCATCTCCAAACCACACGAGGGCTGCAGCTAATTGGTTCAACACACACACATAGGCGCACACTTGGTGTAGAGCAGCAGCAGGAAGTGAGTTTTTCTCACCACGGGAACCTTCTAGTGCCAAAAAATTTTTCCTCCCGTCGACAGCACAACCTCTGGACTCAACGTCCCAATCTGTTCCTGTTACTGTTCAACATTTTAGAAATGATTTTGCGTTTCAGTCGTGTGGCTCTGAACACTTATGGCTGATCTGACGCTGGACTTATTAAAATCACACAAACACATGAAAGCATTCACAAAGGTGTTTCCACCTGCACCACTCACAGGCAGCTCTCTTTATAGATTCCATGTTGTTGTTGTCATGTCTCTACCACCTGCAGTTCCTCTGACGTCCAGCAGAGGCAGCAGTGAGTCAGTCCCAAAGACTCCCATGTTAAAACAAACATATTTACAGCCTGATACACAGACTGTTTCCCCCCTCATAACAGCTTTACGGGAGAGAATGTTTCCTGAACTTACCTGTAAGTTACGAGGCCCCTCCCACTGCGTTGGAGGCGGTTCTGTTGAAGCTAACCGCATTCTCTGAAAGCTGGGCACGGTGACTCGCTCTGGCTTTCTCTGACCATTAATGTTTCTTCTGACTCCAATTTGTGATCTGTGTCCAGGATGGTCGTAGCGCTGGCATAACACTGTGACCTTTGAACTCTGGATCAGTTACTTTAATGCTGGAAAAGTGCTGCATTAATCCTCATTTACGTTTGGCCTTTATACCCATCTATGAGTTTGTCACCAGCAGTAGCTGGTTGTTGTTATGCTCGACTTCACCTAAACTGGACCTCTGCATTGTGTTTGTGCTGTTGGACAATTTATAATGACATCATGTGACCAATAACATGGCTGCTGTGAGCTCTCTGTAGCAACAGACCGTCCAGGAAGGTGGAGTGGGAATTCTGCAGAGTCAGATTCTCAGACTTTCTCTTATTAGCCGGTGCCTGTTGCTCCCATACAGACTGATTACCACACTAGCTCAGCTGATAAGTCAACACCTGCACAATGTTCAGGTGTTGTCCTGGCAACGGAGAGGTCACTGCAGCGGCATCTGTCCAACATCTGTCTGAGTCTGACAGACAAACACTGCTGTCTGCAGGTCAGCACGCCGGCCCATAAACCATCAAGTCCCACAGCAGGGAGCCACACACACACAGTAACACAAACACACATATGCACACTTTAACACACACACACTGTAACAAACAGATTGTAATACACACAGACACACGTGCAGGTGTTGTTGCCTGTGAACAACCATCCTGTCATCACAGCAGCCATCACTAATTAGCTGCATCACCACGGTAACAACACTGCTAGCTCATTAGTGACAGGCTTAATTAGATAGTGGAGGGGGGAGAAGTGGGGGAGGACTGAAAGAAAGAATCAGGAAGTGAGAGATTGGAAAAGGAAATGCAGGGAGGAGAGAAGAATGAAGGGAAGAGAAGTCATATCTGAGAGAGACGGGAGGGAGGAGGACTTCCTGTTATGGGCGGCAACAGGAAGTAAGGCTCAATTTTCTATGCTGACTGTACAACACACACACACACACAGCTGAATGTGTTTTAGAGAGGGTTATCAAGGACGTATATGGCAGGGGAATTTTCTCTGGCTTCATGAAGTTGTAGTCATGGCGTTAGAAAAAGTTCCTCAGGGCACGCTGCTGGGCCCACTCGTTACACTCAGATGGAAAATATAAGCACTATTAAGAAAACGGTCAGACGTTAAAGTCATCAAACTCACAGGCTGAGAATCTGAACTGATGTCTGGAGTCATGTTTGACTTACATCAGAGATTCTTTCCTTTTGGACACAAAAAAAAAAGCCGCGATCAGGGTCACATCTAACACCGCGGTAACTGACAGCTACACATCTGACACTGGTAACTGACAGCTACACATCTGACACCACGGTAACTGACAGCTACACATCTGACACCACGGTAACTGACAGCTACACATCTGACACCACGGTAACTGACAACTACACATCTGACACTGGTAACTGACAACTACACATCTGACACCGCAATAACTAACAACTACACATCTGACAC